TACGGAGTATATATCTCCCAATTGATACGATATTCCCGGGCTTGTATTTCCTATCATGATTTCCTTGATAAAGGATTGCTGCTCACAAGGAAGCTATTAAACCAAGAGTTCCAAATGATGAAGTTGAAGTCGTCCCTTCGTAAATTTTACGGACGCCATCACGAGTTGGTTGACCGTTATGAAATAACCGTTTCACAGATGATATCGGATATGTTCCTTATCTCGTAACTACAATACCCTTCCTTTTTCACGAATGTGACCTACCGAACTAGACTATTTACCGGATTTGTAATAACATAAGCAACACGACGGGTGCCACAGGTGGAGCAGGATCTGCTTACCCTTCCGGAGCGCCTGGGATCGCCCCCAGTTTTTGGTTGGGTTCGTGTTGCTTAGTCTTTAGTTTTCTATGTTGTGTCATCTGTGCTATTATTTGTCTGTTTGTCTTTTTATTTTTGGCCATGGCGTTGTCAGTTTGTTTTCGATCTATGAGTTTGACTGTCCCTCTGGTATCTTTCGTCCCTCTTTTATCACATAGGTAACAACAAAATGTCGTATCTCCTGAATCAAAGATTCTCTTATTCGTTGCATTTCCTCTCGTACATCCTTTATGTCATTTTTGGTAGGTGACGAATCGATTTCTTTATTTATGTCCCTAAAAATGTAATCGTCATTTAAAACCAATTACGGTTGACGGTAACTCTGACAAGTATCGAAAAGACTGTCAGAATGATATAATAGCTGTTCTGACAAAAACGGCTATTTCAATTGAAAATATGTTTTACTTCCTAAAGTATGTTTCGATTAAATAAGATCATTTATTTTTAATTCCAACAAACGCAGTCATTTTGCATTTTCACTTTTTACATAAGAAAATGCCTGTACTAAGCAGTATTATGAGAGTTGTTTCCTATTTGATTGATGTGTGTTTGAGCATTTTATTTTGACATTTGATAAGGGACTTTCCGTTTTTTTGAAATTTTCTTGGAGTTCGATATTTTTGTTATTTTACTTTTGGATAAAAACATACAAAGAAATTAGAATAAAAAATGGGAAAAGTATATACTAAATCAGGTGATGTCAAAGTTTCTTGTTGAAAATGAATATTAGTTATACACAGATTTATCTTAGAAGAAGAAGTCCTAATTAAAATAGAAAGATATATAAAAACGTCAAGGAGGAAAATACTATTAATCCATTATATCTCACAAAGTGTTTCTTTTAATATTTCTATATAGGCGTCACCTTATTGCTCATTTGGGTTTGCTTTTTAAGGATATTTCAAAATATATGGCAGATAAACATTTCAGCTTCCCGAAACTTTCGTTTATTGATTATCAAAACAAAATTATGCAATTTAAACGATAATATAATAAAATTTTAAAAGTTTCCTTGTCACCTTTTAAGACTTTTGCATAACTTGTTAAATGCCAGTCTGCCTAAAAAAAATGGGGCAGTGCTGAAAACATGACAAACAAAAACCCACTCAAGTTTACAAAAATTTAAATTTAAATTGTATAATAGTGCACAAATATAACATGCGTTTCCTTTACCTGTTCTGGTATTTCACAACATAATTTGGTTGAAATGCACTAGCAATTGACAAATAAAGGGAGCTAACTCCATAATTTATTATCATTCTAACCCAAATATGTTTGGAAATTTTTCGAAATACCAGACACGCAGGCATGAAAGACCTATCATTTCTCACTCAAGACGAGGGTAACTTCAAAATAGGATGGTTAGGACGGCGGGTTTGTTTCGGTCATGTTTTGAAATTCTTCTAAATTGCCTGATTCTTACAAATACTGGGACTGAATCACAACAGAAAATACAGTAAATTATGTATTATGAAATACAATACTTGGTTTAAATTTATATATTGCTGGTATGGCGATCTGCCCATATTTAAATAGACAACAAATGTTTCGTGGCAACCCACATTGTTTACATTTAATAAAATATATTCCATTGTATGCAATTAAATGTAGATTTATTGTAATTAAACATTGGATATTTAGTGAATTGTTTATGCGATTGAACTTTAGGGATGAGAATATATATTATCATCACATATGTCAGATTTATAATGTCAATAAGTGTTGAAAGAAAAGTTTTATGTCGATTTCAGTAAGCAAGATATATATTTGACCAACGCTCCTCATTAGATATGATTGTTATTTACGTTTCTACATCTTAACATCTTTGTTCCCGTGATACCCTATCAAAAAAGAGCTTATCAGACTTGTTAATATGTATTCGTAATAAATGCAGCATCACAATGCTTTTCAACCTCAATATATAGTGTAAAACATTTACTAACGGCGCTTCCAAACTTCTGATTTGTCCATATTTTGTAATAACAAAAAATAAAACAATGATTCTCCAGAAGTGTATTACTATTGGTATTGGGCACATTGATCTTTCATAGTATTCGTATACCAATGCATATCTATGGAATTTCTAAATGATTTCAGAATTGTCCCGTATTGTTTGGAATGTTTGCCTGTGAAAATAAATGATTACGAAATATATTATTTGTTGTTATGATACATTTATTTGACAAATCAGACATGTACGAAATAAAGATTTATTACCGTTTTTGATAAAATAAATGCCGTTTTTAAAATCTTTGTGAGTAATTTTGCAATTACCTATTTTCATAATGCTTTAATAGTCCCAAGAGACCAATCTGTGACCTTTAAGCGTCGATATGAATAGTAAGTGAGTCAGAAAGTCAACTAATGTGTCAGGAGGATTAGTATTTACATTTCATGGGGAAAAATAATCAGATGTCTGTTAAAATTTGTTAACGCGTGTAAAATCTGTTTCAGTTGATACCTACAACTTACTCATATAAGTGATACTTAAAATGGCCTCGTTTTCTACATAACTTGTATAGGTAATTTTGAAAGTATTTGTTTGATTAATGCCCCTGATTGCTAAAACGAAGGCAAAAAACAAGAATTGGAAGTTTGACGTAAAAAATGGAACCACATTTTTCTTATTATTGCATGCTTATTGCAAAGAACGTACAAAACCGTAAAAAGTAGTGACCTAATCAGAGCATGCCCAACTTGAATAAAAATGATAAAATCACTGTACTAAAAAACGCTCATCGATATGACGACGTTACTACCCGTGATGATAATCATACTGTTTTTAGTTTTGATTGTATTGCCTTATGTTTGCAATCATGAGCATCGTTTTGCATTTTATGCTTGCAAATATATTTTTCAAAAAAGACCCGTTAAAACGTATTATGATTTTTGACAATACTGTATTAATAAAAAAAAAACATTCATAATAGTTTTGTCGAAAATCTTTAAGTATGCGTTGTTTGAATATCCTTTTGCTATATTCAGAGTAATTGGAGAAAGAGATATATGTGTTAATGAAACAACTACAATAATTACGAGGATAAAAAAAAACTACTAGTAGATATTTTCGAAAAGTCTTCTACACGGACACTTATACCGACACTCATACTTTCACTGACTAAAACATTAAGGGACCTTATAAAAATGTCAAAATATACCGAATGAATAACCTCGCAAAACTTGGTTTGACTCAGCAGAGGTAACAAAAATATAAATTCATTATTTTGTACATGTAGTTGCCTCTATATATTTTTCAATTTGGAATCCGAGCTTGAGATAGTAAGTGCTCTCGTCAGTTTTCAAATTCTTTTTGTCAACTGTTTTTCTTCTTATTGTCGAATCATACTGATTGATCTTTTTCAAGCCGTTATTTGCATTTCATGTATTTTTTTGTTGTTGGAAAATAACAAATATAGCCAATTATCTTATCAAAAGAGAAAATCGGGTACACCTGTTTACGTTTTTTTGGTTGCAAATTTTGTACTGAAAACGTATTACTAAATTTGTATTCTTTTCAAACGGGATGTATAAAGACAAACCTACGTTCATTTTGATTTATAAAGAGGTTAACTCCTAACTATTCTACTGCCTGTCGATACATTTATTTTTGGCATTGCACAAGTCATGTCTTCTTTGACTGTCCATGACGTTAAAATACAAAATCCCTGGGATGTGTTTTAGTTGATTTTAGTCTCTGATGCATGATTTTTTTATTATTAATTGTTGTTGGCTTTTAACTAGCTGTCAGTAATTGCGAGTACTCTCAAATCGTACTTTCTTGTTTTTTTGACCTGTTGATACTAATTGTAATGCTTTTTTTGTTATTTAATGTTTACTATTTCAGGGTTATATCTGGTCTATAAACCATCTTTGATAAAATGTTTCGTATTACTATAAATTTTCACTTCTTCGTACTATAAACATCAAAATTATTTATTTTGTAAAAATATTTCCTTTCTCCATTTGAACTGTACACGTATACCTAACAACAAAATTATTTTAATTTACCTGTGTTTAAAGTAATTGCAAATGGCTGAATTTTTTTTCAAGCATATTGTTTTTCTTAAATTGTTTAACATTTCACAGCGGTATAACATGTTACTTTAATTATTCTTCCCTTAGTTTATTTATTTTGTATTTACATTGCATCATAGATCAAATTTGTTTGTTCAGTGTATGTTCTCTGGTGTTAATATGTTTTTTGATTGAGTTAAGCCATTTCAATTGATATTTTATTGTGTGTCTTTCTATGTTGTGATGTTACACTATTGTTTCAGATAAGGGTAAAGGTTTGGTACCATTGAAACGTTTAAACCCGCTGCAATTGTTTGCACCTGTCCTAAGTCAGGAATCTGATGTTGAGTAGTTTGTTGATGTGGTTCATAAGTGTTTCTCGTTTCTCGTTTTTTATATAGATTAGACCGTTGGTTTTCCCGTTTGAATGGTGTTACACTAGTCATTTTTGGGGCCCTTTATAGTTTGTTGTTCGGTGTGAGCCAAGGCTCCGTGTTGAAGACAGTACTTTGACCTATAATGGTTTACTTTTATAAATTTTGACTTGGATGGAGAGTTGTCTCATTGGCACTCATACCGTATCTTCTTATATCTATTGATAAATCATCTAGCTTTATTTTTATATACTATATATTAAGGCTACATTTTTATATAATACATTGTAACATTACAAATCCACAGTACCAAAAAATGACATATGGTTAAAATGAAATACCAATCTAAGGTGTCATGACGTTACCGGCGGGTTGAGCACTAACACGTGTAAAACAAGACCACATTCTTCAGGTCAGGAGTCTGTTGTTCAGTGGTTGTCGTTGGTTCATGTTTGTCATATTTTTTTCGTAAACTGGTTTGTTATAAATTAGGCCGTTAGTTTTCTGAATTGAATTGTTTCATATTTTGTTTTATGTCGGGGCCTTAAATAGCCGACCATACTGTATGGATTTTTCTCATTGTTGAAGGCCGTACGGTTGCATGCATCCACTTCATTTCGACTTTGGTGGATAGTTGTCTAATTGGCAATCATACCACATCTCATTAGTTTTATATTAACATAATCATGATAATAGATACAAATGTTAAAATAGGGGTACAGCTGTCAACATTGTGTTATAATCTTAATCAATACATCAAGCAAACAAATATGCCAACAAGGAAAAGGAAAATGGCATATACACAAAGGACATACGCAAGTTTGTATTTAAGTCCTACAATACATTTGATAGCTTATAAAATTCAACCATACAAAATAAACAAAAAACAAAAAACAACAACAACACACACACACACCATTGTAAATACAATTTGTTAAACATTATACACTATTGTTTGAATTTTGTTTGAATTTCAGATTATATATCAAACAGGTTTGTATGACCTGAAATGTCTCATTGGTTCACAATAGTGATTGTTGACAACCATTCAAAGTTCAAGCTGCTACTATTTTATGTTATTCCAATTGTATTCAATCATTTCCAATTATATGTAAATGCTCTGGAAAATGTGGTTTTGGTCAACCAAATTAATGATGTATCTCCCTCATCAAGGATTTTGGTATTCGCTATATTTTCTGTTTTAAAGCCTCTATGTCACGCTTGATACGGGTTGAATCGGTTTCTGCGTTTATGTACCTGAAAAATTCACAGAAAATACAAAACAAATGCTTTTTATAGGTATATAATGCAACCTCAAATACTACATTCACATATTAAGCTATTTATATATCATCAATGTATATTCATAGTTTGAGGTTTCCAGATGGTAAAAACAGTATACAAATTACAGATAGTATAACTTTGTTTGCGTTATATAAGCGTTAACATAGATTTCACTTTGCATTTAGTTTATCTATACATATATATAAAAAACCTTGATCTAGATCCAGAATCACATTGTGAAGGATGAATAATCACAAATTTGGTTAAAACCAATAGCATGGTTATGTGACTGTCCAAAGCCATTAACTTAAGAAACACTTATCGATGCAAAATGGCAATTTTTCAGTCGATATTTACAAAACATGATATTAAAGTGAAATACAGTTCTAATATGTCATGACAACAGAGTAGTTGTGTTTGAATAACAAAAAAAAAAAAACAAAAAAAACACTTCGAGCTACTTCAAATGTTTTAAATAGATGTGTATTTCTGACTTGTATATTTGTTTACCACTTGTTCATTCATTTTTCCGAAGAAAAGTTCGGACGTATTCATTTTTTTATTCATGAAATCATTGAAATGTATATTAAAAAAATGTCGGACACATTGTCATTTTTTTTTTAATTTTCAGGTCATATATCAAACAGGTTTGTATGACCTGAAATGTCAAATTGGTTCACAATTTATAGTGATTGTTGACAACCATTCAATGTTCAAACTGCAACTGTATTCTGTTATTCAAATTGTATTCAATCATTTCTAATTATATGTTAAAGCCTTGGAAAATCTGGTTGTTGGTGACATGAATAGTAATATATCTACCTGATCAAATATTTTGGCAATCGTTTTATTTTCTTTTGTAAAGCCTCTATGTCAAGATGGATAAGGGTTAAGTCAGTTTCTGCGTTTTCGTCCCTGAAAAAATGACCAGAAAATACAAAACAAATGCTTTTTAGAAGTTCATAATGCAAACTCGAATACCATATTCACATATTAAGCTAGTTATTTATCATCAATGTATATTAATAGTTTGAGGTTTCCTGATGGTTAAAACAAATATATAAAAAAACATAAAAAGCAAATTTGATCTAAAATAAAGAATCAGATTTTGTATAGCATCAGCAACAATAAGTATCGCTAAGGTGGACCGGGGATCTTGATTAAAATCCATAGAATTTTGTATTAATTTGTTAAAAAGTAGTTTTTGTCATGCTTTTTTCCAAAATATAACAAAAAACGTATGGGTCACCTGACTTTTTTTTACCCTACAGATTGCGCAAAATAGTCAGATTTTGTATAGATTATGCATGGAAAACCCAATTTTGTGTAATAAAAAGAAAACTTCACCATAGAATTTTAAGAAAAAATGTGAGAAAATAGCTTTTATAACATGCTTTCAGATAAGAAAAAGAAAAAATGGGGTCACCGGACTTGTTTTCTTGCTACATATTAAAATGGGTAAATTCACAACACTTTCTATTATAAAGATTACTTTATCTGTTTTATATCCCCTACTATCTGAGGTATCTTCTCTTATGTGGCAAAGATGACAAAAAATGAATCAAACAAAAATATTGTGTTTTTTTTTAGAAAATACAGCCGTAAATATGAAAAAAACACATAATTTTCTATATTAACATGAGAAGTCTTACACATAAATTAAATGCTATTTAATTTGCATATTTCATTAAAGATCTAGACCAATTATTATCTGCTCTTTCAATATCTAAGATGAAGAAAGAAACCCCAGCCACCTTAATACGGTATTATTTCAAAATATGTGTTCAAGGCTCTGTACTGGACATCTGCAATACTGATAATTTGATCAAATGCTTGCTTACGTGTATTATTGTTTTATCTTTAACTTTATGTGGTGTTCTTTATCTGAACCTGAAGGATGAATAATCACAAATTTTGTTAAAACCATAGCATGGTTATGCGGCTGTCTAAAGCCATTATCTTAACACGCTTAAAAAACACTTGTCGATATGAACAATGATGAAAACGCAACTCTTAATTTTTTCCCCCTTTCTCCCTGGATAAAATTAAATAAGACAAAAAAATCAAACAAGCCAATTATAAAAAAAAAACAGGAATGAACAAATTATGAAGGAATTAAACAGAAACAAACAGCTACAATCAGATTAACGCCACATTTTCCAAATACCATACAAACTTGCAGATATAGATTTGTAAGAAACAAGCAAGCAAGGTTCCCACTTGGGACAGGCACATGAATACTTAGGATTAAACTATGTTTTGGAATCTGAAGCTTCCAATTTTAACTTGTATTCATGGACTAACATAATGTATATTCATCATATCATACATTGTTATAGAGTAATTGCATTAAATACGGTGATAAGTAGAGTAGATTATAATATTGAAAAGTTAACACTAACGAGTAAAATATATATGTTCTACGAGAGATAATATCCATCAGAATTCATGCAATAACCTCTTTGTTGTGAAGACAGTTTAAAAACATGCTTCAATCATACTTTTGTCTACGATGTTGTTGATAATTTGAAGTTGATTGGCTTTTTTCAGTAGTGCAATATCGTTATATTTTGCACCAAAACTTGGTATTGCATTCTGTGAATAATATTATACTGCTATACAATAAAATAAAGCAGTACAGGAAAATATTTGAACCAATTAGATAACTTGAAAAGCTGCATTATCTTTTTGTGTTTCTCGTCAAATTGTATTAACAAACCAGAGGCTGGTCCAGGAGAACGACGTAAAGGGCGTATGATTCCTTTTGACTGCTAAAAAAATGTGTTTTTTCACAAAGCTTGTGAAATTAATTTCTGTAACAGTGTTCACTAATATAAGAATATGGGGTTGAACATATATATGTAAGTTATAATTGTTTATTTATAAAAAAAGATATATAGACCCTCAGCTATGGCCAAACATTCCTTATATGCATTAACATTATTTTTATACTCAGTTGAGCCACAATTTGTATGCTATTTTATGTCTTCATCATCAGTCCTGTGGTCTATGCTTAGAAAATGCCTAACCTAATCAGATTATCCCACTGATTGTTGTTAACGTTAATAAAGGGACAGTAGTTGGAATGTTATCCCGAATTCCCGAAAAAATAATCTTTCCCGGATCCCTAAAAAATAAGCATCAAATACCGAGTCCTGATAGATCTAAATCCATAATTCCCGCAAAAAAAGGCCCAAACACGAATATTATATAAATATAAGCATACATAACATGTTATAACTGTTTTTTACGCATGTCTGTTTGTGTGTAGGAAACGATTTAGCAAGAAAAAGTTGAGTTCCAATTGCTTTTTTGAAAGAAGACTTGTCGAAATGTGCATCTGGTGCAGTAATTATGCCTAGTTAATATTATATCAAAAATTAAAGAGAAGGGAAACGGAAAAGTCTATTGTTTTTTTTTATGTCAAAGGTAAAGATCAATGTTAAAAAAAAAAACAACAAAAAAAAAAAAACAAAAAAAAAAACAAAAAACAGGAGCCTTTTTTCTTTTCGGTTGCTTGTTTCGATGACAAATTCTACTGATGATATACATGTACAGAAGAGTAAGACAACTATTTGTTTTGATTTCTAAGGTCAACCTTTTTAGATGTAGTTCGGTTTTGCAAAATATATTTTTTTATTATAGTTCGGGTTTCCCTTTATTGATTAGAATGCAACTTGTATGGATATAAGTTATAGGCAAGGAAGGGAGGCCTAAGTTTTAAGGTCTTACAATATGTCCCCATAGAAATCCCGATTCTTCGTTCATTAAATAAATGCTTAAGTCGAAAAAGAAAAGGTTGTCACTAAAATTATCAAAAATCTTGATGATGTTAGTTTTAGAATTCTTTTTTTTTTATTCAGATAGGTGTTTAGCAAACTATGATTTATCCTTTCTAATAACAAAATATATGTATCTACGTTGCCATTTTGTTTGATGATAATTTGGAATTAGTCTAGTGCTTTCAATCTATCTTTCAGTTTAGAATGGGATGTACTACTCTAAAGGGTGTTCGATCTTAATCTTTCTTCAATATTCATAAATCCGCTTAATTCTGTATTATTGAGACAAATCAATACATGCTAGTACTCTTCAGCAGTTTAACAATGCTGAGTTTCTTTACAAATTACTGACAATATCTCTGTTGAATTAAACATCAACTCATTTTAAGACTTAATATTTTCAGGTTCAGACTTTTCATATGCAGTAAATCTCCAAATAGCCGCTTAACACTAACACCATTTATTTCTGTTTGTCTATCTTTACTCTCAAGTGGATGTTTTTAAAGCAGTGACAATGTGTTTAAAATCGTTATGATGTAGGAGTTGCATATGATATTTACATTCACTAAATTTTTTGCCGAAAAGCTACTGAACATTAATGGACATATACAAGGAATAATCGATAATTAGTACGAGATACAATGTATCATATGTGCAATGTAAATCGTTTATAGTGATATTTTAAAAGTGTAAGCACTCTTTCATATTAAATTTCATAATATCTCATCTATCAATATGCTACCTATACTTAATTTAAAAAATATCAAGTATAGATGCAAAAAGAGGGACGAAAGATACCAGAGGGACAGTTAAACTCATAGATCGAAAACAAACTGACAACGCCATGGCCAAAAATAAAAAGACAAACAGACAAATAATAGTACAGATGACACAAAAAAGAAAACCAAAGACTAAGCAACACGAACCCCACCAAAAACTGGGGGTGATCTCAGTAGCTCCGGAAGGATAAGCAGATCCTGCTCCACTTGTGGCACCCGTCATGTTGCTTTTGTTATTACAAATCCAGAAAATAGTCTAATTCGGTAAGTTCCATTCGTGAAAAGGGAGGGTATTGTAGTTACGACATAAGGAACATATCCGATATCATCTGTGAAACGGTTATTCTATAACGGTCAACCAACTCGTGATGGCGTCCGTAAAATTTACGAAGGGATGACTTCAACTTCACCATTTGGAACTCTTGTTTTAATAGCTTCCTTGTGAACAGCAATCCTCTATCAAGGAAATCATGATAGGAAACACAAGCCCGGGAATATCGTATCAATTGGGAGATATATACTCCGTATGCAGGCGCTGCTGGAATGTTGCTACATAGAAATGGAAAGTTCTCAATTGGGAAGCTGAAATCATCTCTTTTGTCCTAAAGTTTTGTTATCAACCGACCCTCATTGTCAATTTCTAGATTTAAGTCAAAATATGAAGCAGACTTAACTGTATCCGTAGTATCCTTTATCTCTAGTTCGATGGGATAGATTCGTTCAACATAGTCACCAAATTTTGTATTATTTAGTGAGAGAACATCATCTATATAGCGGAACGTAGAGTTAAAGGATATTGCTAACTTCTTATCTTTCTTTCTAAGAAGTTCCTGTATGAAGTCAGCCTCGTAATAATAAAGAAACAAGTCGGCAAGAAGAGGGGCACAATCGGTTCCCATTGGAATTCCGACAGTCTGTTGAAAAACACGTCCTCCAAACTTAACAAATATGTTGTCAATCAAGAAATCAAGCATTTTAATAATGTCAGTTTCTGAGATTTTTTTGTTTGAATCAGAGTGATTCTTTACAAAGTAGGATTTATCCCTCCCCAAGTCAAGATACTTGTATCTACGTTCGCCATTCTTTTTATTGAAATAAAGTTATACCAACTCTTTCAATTTGTCTTTTAGTTTGGAATGGGGAATACTTGTGTAAAGTGTAGAAAAGTCAAATGTTTTGATACTATTGCAAAATGAGAGAGTCTTAGATTGTATGTACTCTTAACGATCTTTGGAATGTTTTAGTATCCACATCTGAATCACGCCATCTCTAGAATAGGCAGTTTCACAATAACTTTGGAGCCCGGCTTTGATTGCTGATAACATAGATGTTAATAATTTAGAAAGAGGTTTCG